GATATTCAAGCTGTGTTCTCTGTTTTCTTCAAAAGAGGTGTGATAAACCCGGGCCTGAACTCTACTTTTATAGCTTTAATTCCGAAGACTGAAAGAGCCTGTCACCCTAAAGAATTTAGATCCATCCGTTTGATTAATAGCCTCTACAAGATCATTGCTAAGGTTCTTTCTAGAAGAATTAGAGAGGTCTCCCCTCAATTATTTCCCACAATCAAGGTGCTTTTGTGATGAATTGACAAATTGTGGACCAAATCTTAATTGCTAATGAGAGCGTGGAAGACTATAGAAGTAGAGGTGACAAGGGGTTGGTGTGTAAGCTAGATTTGGAGAAGGCATACGACATGGTGGATTGGTCTTTGCTATTGGAGGTTTTAGAGTCTTCCGGATTTGGGAAGAGATGGTGCAAGTGGATAAAAGGGTGCATTAGGACTTGTCATTATTCTGTGTTAGTGAATGGCAGGGTGGTGGATCACTTTCCAGTTGTTCGGGGTTTTAGGCAAGGGGACCCTCTATCTCCCTTCCTCTTTACCCTAATTGCTGAAGTGTTAAGGAGGCTGATTGAGAAGGCAGATTCAAGGAGCTTGATTAGTGGATGGAGAGTGGGGAGGGATAGGGTTCCGGTCACTCACCTACAATTTGCAGACGGCACAATTCTGTTTTGTGATGGAGAGGAGATTAGTTGGGTGAGAAACTTGAAGAAGGTGATTAAGGTGTTTGAACTAATGACCAACCTCAAAGTTAACCTTGGTAAGAGTTGTGTGATTGGTATTAATATGAGCGAGGGAGAGGTGGAGGAAAGGGCTCGAGTGCTAGGTTGTGAGATAGCTCATTGGCCATTGAAATATCTAGGGCTTCCTTTAGGAGATAATTCTAGAAAGAGGAGATTTTGGAATCCGGTGATTGACAGATTCACTAAAAGGCTAGCTTCCTGGAAGAAGAATTACTTGTCTCTCGGGGTAGGATTACACTGATTAAGTCAACATTGGCAAATCTTCCGGTCTATTTCATGTTTGTGTTCAAAATGCCTGAAGGAGTCTGTAGGGTGTTGGAAAAATTGATGAGGGACTTATGGGTACCCGGGGAAGAAAAAAGGGACCATAGAGTTAGTTGGGATCTAGTGACAAGACCCAAAGGTGAAGGGGGTCTGGGGCTGGGAAACATCCAGAAGAAGAATGTAACTCTTTTAGGGAAATGGTTATGGAGGTGGTCTAAAGAAAGGGAGAGAAGTTGTGGGCCAAAATAATCCTAAGTATTCATGGGCAAGAGGCAACTGGCTGGGATCCGAGACTCTCATCTAGGGCTTCAAGAGCTTCTTTGTGGAAGTCGATCCACGTCATCCTTCAATCTTTTCTTCCCTTCATCAGGTATGATCTTGGTTTTGGCTTGTCAGTTAATTTTTGGGACCACATTTGGGTGGGGGATCCCCCCTTGAAAGAGCAGTTTCCCTCTTTGTTTGCTCTATCTAGGTTTAAAAGTGAACCTGTAGCCACCTTTGCTACCGTGTCTAACTCTGCTATAGGTTGGAACCTGGGTTTTAGAAGGGCACTTAGAGATCTTGAATTGGAACCCATTTCTAATTTGCTTAAGATCCTGGAAGAGGTAGTCCTTGAGCCTTCAATTGGGGACTCCAGGGTATGGTCTCTTGTCCCTTCGGGTATCTTTTCTTGCTCCTCCTTTTTCAAAGCACTGACACAACCTAGTCTGGTTCCGGGGTTTTCTTTTCCAGTCCGGAAAATCTGGGGTAATCCAGTCCCTCCTAGGGTAGGCACTTTTTGCTGGGAAGCATGCCTAGAAAAGTGTAACACTTGTGACCTACTTCAAAAGAAAAGGCCTAATTGGTGTTTATCCCCACACTGGTGCATCTTATGTAAGAAGAATGGGGAAAGCTGTTATCACTTGTTTGTTTCTTGCCCTTTTGTTTCAGATATCTRGTGTTGGTTTTTTTCTCTATTTGGTTGCAGGTGGACCTCCCCTTCTAATGTGCAAAGCTTTTTTAGCTCCACAACAGTGAGGGGATTAAAAAAGAGAGGGAAAATATTGTGGAGTTGTGCTAGAGCTGCTGTTTGTTGGACGGTTTGGGAAGAAAGAAATCAAAGAGTTTTTCATGATAAAGAAAAAAGTAAGGAAGCCATCATAGAACTTATTTATGTTAGGGTGGCTCTTTGGGTCAAGCCTTTGAAGCTCTTTGAAGATTATTCAGTAGGAGGCATCATTAGAAAGTGGGATGAAGTGGCTCGGTCAGCTCCCATGTTCACAGCTCTTAGACCTATTTGGACTCCACCAGATCCAGGTTTCATCAAATTGAACTTTGATGGTAGCAGTGAAGGAAATCCAGGCCATTCTGGTATAGGCGGTATCTTCAGGGATGAGGAATCATTGCTATGTTCTCAGGACCTATAGGCTGGGGGGACTCATTGAGAGCTGAAATCTTGGCAGCTCTAGAAGGATTTAAAAGAGCTAAACAACTGAATATTAGTAAGTTGTTGGTGGAAGGAGATTCTCAGTTGACTATTAAATTGTTGCAGAAGGAAGTGTCCAGCTTGTGGAAGTTCTCTAATGAAAGAAAGAAAATTACTCAGTTAACTCCGAATATGTCTGGAAGGGTTCAATGGGCCAAGAGGTGCACTAACTCCATGGCTGATACCTTGGCCAAACAGTGGGTGGGAAGAACAAATCTTTTTTGGGCTATACTGTAATATGTTTTTTCAGTTTGTTAGGGAGGGTTAAGTCTTTTTACCCCTCCCTCCTGATTATAATTTCTATATCTCTTTTTATAAAATTTCTGTTATTGATAAAAATAATAATAATAATAATAATAATAATAATAACCACAAACAGGGTATTTGTAAGGGAACTGGTGAGGATCTTCAGAGGCCAAACGAAGGGACCTCTGGTGGGATTAAGCTAAAGAAATGTTTGGGGTGATTAAAGAATATTAACAGAGATGGAGGGATCTTATGCACAAGTCTCTAGTGGTGGGGAATTGGTTGCTATGATTGAACAAGATAGGAGAGCAGAGCTCTTCCCACTAGAAGCCAATATTGCCTAGCTCTCTCCATCAGGTACACTTGTCCTTTTAGTTTCAGATACTAATTCTTGCTCTGCCTGTTAGTTGTTCTCTAGGTACTCAACTTGTATCATAGCTGCAAGCCCATGCCCTTGAGGATCATATGGTAAATAAAGGGGGCGAAGTAAAGGAGAGTGAAAGGAAGACTGCGTGGCTGGATGTAGGGAATGAAGGTAGAAGAATTTGGGAATTAATTGAGGTGATGTTCGAGGAACTAAGGGGGCGTTCTTTTTTTGGATTTTGAGATGGGGAAAGTTGGTCAATGGGATTTTGGTTCCCATTGACCAAGAATACAATGCTCTATTTTCAGATTAATGTGGGGACCAGGGAAAGTTTATTTTCCTGGGTAACACTTACCCGGGTAAGTGATACCCTTCTCCTAGGTGGGTAAATAACTTTCCCACCTAGGGGGAAAGATTCCAACACTTAAATGGGATAAAAATACCCCATTTAATAATGGATTTTTATTGCTAAAATGGTCATTTTCTTTTTTACTTGGAAAATAAAAGAACATGGGTAAATACACATACCTGGGTAAGTGTTTCCCAAGAAAAATTTACCCAGGTAACTGCATTTACCCAGGTAAGTAACTTACCGAAAAGTGAACGGGGCCTAAAAAGGAAGGACTTAGAAGGGGGAGGTAACTTAAATGAAATTGAGCAGGTAGGTAACCTAGTGGAGAGGGCAGAAGCAGTGGGGGAATGTAGAGAAGGGAGAGAGGGAACAATGGATAATAATAGGAATAAGAATGAATCCATGGCAGAATTTGTGAAGGAACTTGGTTGCAGTGTTAATAACCCACTTGATTTGAAGACTTACCTAAGGAAAAACAAAGGGGAAGGAAAGTGAGAAAGAAATTGAGTAAAGTGGAAAGACTTAACTAGAATGCTGAAGGGGAAAAGGAATTTAGTGCAAGAAGGGAAATGACAAAATGGAAGAAATAGGAAGGGAATCGAAAGCAAGTTGACAATGAAAATATTGAACTAGAATGTCCAAGGTTTAGGTAGTGCCAAGAAAAGAGCAATTATAGAGGTGTTAATAAAAGAAAACCCTGACATAATTATTCTTCAGGAAACAAAGTTGTCAGAGTTTGATGGCAGATGGGCAAGAAGTATTTGGTGGGTTAGGGGAGTTAGTTGGGCAATGGCCCCTTCTTGGGGTTCATCTGGGGGATTAGTGACCGTGTGGAGGAATGAAAAGTTGATTGGAATTGAAGAGCACATGGCTGCAAAAGAAGGGGAGTGGTTTCTGGGTCTTCAATGGCGAGAGGAAGAAATTCTAGTGGTTGACGCAAAACATGGATGTAAAATTCAGTTGGATTAAAAGAACTGCTAATGCTTTTGCTGGTGTTCTAGCAAAACAATGGGTGCGAAGAAAGTTTTATTACATTTTCTTCTATAGAGGAAATGCTGCAAAACTTGAAATTCAAGAGCCCTACTTGCCTTAAAAACTAGACATAAATGGTTCTGAACAGTTCGTCTATGACATGGTCTGCTTTATGGGTTTATGAATGTTTCTTTTTTTCTTGTTTCTTTTGGGCGCATGCTTAATTGGTATTTTTTTTTTATTCTGGTTATACTAGTTGCTTCTGGTTTCCCTTTCTTTCAAATTGACATTAAATCCTTAATCCCTTGGATGTTTGTTCTCTATTTCATTTCCTATAAATCCTTACACAGTACTAGGAATTAAGACCACTTTTCTTGTAGCTGCATTTCTTGACTAGTCCCTATACACTTAATTTATGCAATTGTTGCTGCAAACAGTGCTTATTTGCTCGGATTCAATCCATACTTGGATTCCGAACTATAGATGTTTTAGCTATGCCATGAAATTTATGAGAAATGTTTGCAACTATTGCCCTTTTTTTGTCTCATGGTTTTTCATTCTCTCCCTAAATTAGGAATTTTTCTTGTCTGTGATGGATCAATGACAGGCTGTGTAACATGGATATCATCTCAGAAGTACAACAGGTCATTTGCTTTGCCTTCCATGATAGTAAATTGCTAATGGAGACGTGTCAAGAAGCAAAAAACATGAGGAAGATGGTGACACTCTTCTACTTGGATTGAAAGACAGACAGACAGACAGACACCTTTTCTTCTTCTAAAGATGTGCTTATTTTTGTAGATTGGGTTGTGAAATCCATGCATAGGGAGGGAACAAATTGTTCATCTTTGTTTCTACGTTGGCTCATGGGAAAAAGATAGAGGTCCCAGTTGGTCATTGTTTACAAACATCATCGGTGCATTGAAGAGGGGAGATGGTCATTTGTTATTTGATTTGATTTTGAGGAAATGAAAAAGAAATGTGGAAAATAATACTTGTTTCAGTTCAGCTCAAATGGGTGTTTCCTCACCCCACCCACACCAAAAATATTATTTTATTGCCAGTACCATATCAATATGGAATTAAGGTGTCTCTAAGTGAACTTGGAGTTTGAGTATGACAATTGTAGGGAACTTGCCCATGTATATGACATACCGAAGGCTTTTCAACTCTTAAGAATTCTAGGAATTGGATTCTTCTAACCATCAAATACATCGATATCATTTGAAAAAAAAAAAGATATTTTGTTTTAGGATGATTTGTTCTTCTAACCGCCAAAAATATTATTTTATGCCCCATATATCGTACCCATTGCCCAATTACACATGGTAAATGAAGATGAAACAGACCTCTGAAGAAGAGCAGAGTTCTAAGACAAGGAGAGAAAAAGCTTTGCCCCTTCTAACAACTGTAACAAGTCTGAGAGAATGAATAGTCTATCCATCTTTATCAAACTACGGCTTAGTGCCGTCTTTGTATTTATAGAGCCTCTGTATGTTGATGGATTTATGACAGGAATGAACACAACACTGGGCGGATAATTATGAATCTTACTCATCTTAGTCCTTTTAGTTTTAGGTCACTAAGACTCAAGGTTCAAAGTATCAGAAGGATGTTCTACAACATGAATCGTTTTTCTTGTTTCTGGCTCTAAAAATAAATCAAAACCAATTTGTTTGAAAATAGGATGTTTCTTAAAACAAAAACACAAGAAACATGTTCTTGGTTGTGTATGTGTTTTTTGTTTTCGAAACTGAAATAAAAACATGTTCTTGAATCTGGTTTCAAAAACATATTTTCATTTGATTATTAAACATTATGTTCCATAATCATATAATTTTTATACTAGAAAAAGTGTTTTTGTTTTAAAAACCAATATTTTATTGGTCCAAGAAACATGTATTATTTTTTGAAACAACACCAACTTGTTTGTCCCTTTGAAAACAAAAATAGAGTTCAAGAACATGTTTTCTGTCTTTTTGCTGATGTGGCGATTGCAAAAAACAAAAACATCCATATTGTAGATGCCCCTTAAGTGTATTGGAAATTCAAATTTAAGAGATATATTGGGATATGCCCTTGATACACATGGATATGAATAAGAAAATTAACATGAAAATGCTATAGATATTCTAATAAATATTTGGTCAATTGGGCCACAGGTCAAATAATTTTCTAGGCATTAGCTGTATTTCCAAAGAGAAATTCACCACTTCAATCTGACAACATAAATATCAAAAGTGATATGGGGAGGTGGGATCCTGGCTTTGCAACCTAATTCTTCATCGCCAAAAATAGGAACCATAAAATCCCACTAAGGGATGTCATAGACAGCTTTTGGAGAGAAACTATGGTACTTGGGGTTTTGGTTTTCAACTTGAAAGCAGTAAAATAGATGCAGTTGCAGCCTTTTTAGAACTTATATAGCAAGGGGGAGAAGAAAGAATCGATAGTTTTCTGTAAGCTGTGTTGCTAGTCGTCGAAACACGAAAACATAACTCGAGACCATTAAAGATAGGCAAATTAAACTATGGGAAGCAACCCCTCAAGTAGGAATAGCAACGGGTAGGGTACCTGTACAAATTGCCCTACCCATTCCCGGACCCGCCTATGTACCCTTGATCCTAAGCCCATCTAACTTTTCCTCTCAATTTCCCAAATCCGTCTCGTCCCAAACCCGTTAAACCCATCCCACCCAATTTGAAAGGTCAATTAACGCTTTCCAATAGTGTTAAAACTCTCAACACTACTTTAAGCTACTAAGGCATCTTGTCATTTTGTGTTATTTAATGAAATAAAATGAGTTTTATTAACTTTTGTGTTCATCCAAACAAACAATACATATTTATGATTAAAAATTCCAAATAAAAATTAAAAGAAATAATATTTAAATTAGCATTTTATACATAAATGGAATAAATAATCCATCAAATCCAAATTTACATCAAAAGATGATTCTAATCCCAAGAAATTTATACAAATAAAAGATTAATAATAAAATAATTATCTTAGTACTTAAAATTTATAAATTTGTGCATGATATATATCTTACAAATTTTATATATTTTTATAATTATTAGTTAATATTTTAATTTATATTAAATAACATTATATTTATCATTTACAAAAATAAAATAAAAATTGTTTACAAAATATTTAAGAATATAATATTAAACTGAATCTATCAATCCACTAATTTACATTTATATGAAAAATTGATTTTTAGTTTCAAAATACTTATAGAAGTTTAAAATTTAATAATGAAATAATTATTTTAGTAATTAAAAATTATGAATTTTCATATGATATATATCTTATAAAAGTTAACAGATTTGATATATTTTGAGTAAAAATATATAAATATTTTTATATGTTTATATATATATATATATATAAAATATTGAATTTTATATATTTATATATATCCATGGATTCTCAGATCAGATTCGAATTCAAATACCTCTATTTATCCTAACAAATCATATCTGGTCGGAAAAGTTGATCTGTTTAGTTAACAAATTGGATTTGAATATACCCAATTTGATATATTAGTTATGAAATATTATATGCTATATATTATATATGTATATTCTAATATATTATTTATACAATTATACATTATATATTATAAAATATTATTATATTATGTAAATAATATAATATATTATTTATATTATATCATCAAGTTTTTTTATTACAATTCATCAAATTTGTTATTGGATCAGATCGAATATACTCCTTGCCGAATTTGATTCGATCCATTTGCAGCCCTACCATTGACTAGGTCAAAATGGTCAATGGTTCAACTACCTAGTTCGAGTGGGTTTTGACAAAATCAACGATTTTTGACAAAATGGTAGGTTTTAGGAAACCCAGAATTAGAAATAGGGACAAGTAATAGTTCAAATCATTTAACCACCCAAATCAATGTTGAGTTGAAAACATTGAATAAAACATCATAAAAATTATAATCCATTTATATTCTATTTGAAAATAATAAAAATTAATTATCCATAATAAAAAAGTTTTATTAAATTACTTAATAAAATAAAAGTAATTATTAATATTATTTATAAAAATATTTTATTAATATAATAAAAAGGAATTATTTTTTAATAAAAAGTAATAAGATAAATTAAGAACTAGCATCCATTTAAAATTAATATCAAACTAATACAAAATTATCTAAAAATTATTAGTTTTGTAGTTATTTTTTAATGACCAATTTAAATGCCATTGAAAAATAAAAATTTAATATAATTAATTAATTTTAATACTGATTAATAAATAGAAAAGTTAATAAAAAATTTATTAATCTTAAATTTAGTTTAATTAATTTAATAATTCTATGAACCTCCCTTGTGTTTTGACCTTAACAAAAACTGTCATATTTTTTTGAACAAAAGGTGCAAATACCTTCCTTCTATTAATATTCAAAATAGAAAAAAATGTTGATGTAATGCATTAATTTTTATATACCAATTTTACCCTTAACTGACTTCATATATATGTAAATTTACTAAAATACCTTGAATAAAAGATTTACTTCCTTTTACTTCACTTCAGCCCTTTTACCTTACTTCATCCAAGAAATTAACCACTTTAAATTACTGAAGGGTAAAGTTGAAACTTTAAACTGTGTATGGTAACACCTTAACAATGATAAGTGTATTTTTGTAATTTTAATATCTTTGGTATTGAAAAGCAACAAAAAAGGAGGAATTTGCATATTTTTTAAAATTATAGGGGTCAAAACAAGGATGGCTTATAGAATTGTTATAAGAGGAGGCTTTTTCTAATTTTACCTAAAATAATACAAAATAGTTACAAACTAATGAATTTTAAAAATTAATAAAAATTATAGCATTAAAATACAAAATAAATAATAAAAATTTATCTAGTGCATAGGAAATTAACCACTCTTACTAAAATGTAACTTGAATTGTAATTGATTACACTAGACATAACCCAAAAAGATAATGCTTGAATTGGACTTAGATGAGCACTATATAATTGGAAATGTCATAGAGCTCCTTAACAATTTTTCTTCACACACACACACACATACACTAGTGGGGACCTGTGCGATGCATGAGATTTGTTAAGGGAAAGTGAAACAACAAAAACTGATAGCTATTATAGGGAAGGAAAGTAATGTTGTTTAAAATAATTAATCTTTATTTTAGTATTTTTTTACAAAAATAATAAATTACTGTTAATTACTTAATAAAATAATTTTTTCCATATTATCTGTTAGTTTTCTATTTTGTTTATTTTATTTTATTAATGATTAAATGTTACAATTTTTAAATGTTTAAAATACTTAAATATTATAAAATATATAAAATTAGGTTGTAGTCATAAAGAAATTAATCTATAGATTAACTTTTTTAGTTGTAATTAAATTAATCTAAGCCCAAATTTGAGGTTTAAGACTTCGGGTTAGACTTTGTTTGATCCTTAGCTTGGCTTGACCCCCTAAGTTGCACCCCTAAGAGCAATGTGACATTTGTAATTAGATTGAGCCAAACCGAATACAACTCATGCATGCATTATTTTTGGGTGTTTAACTATTTTTAAATAAAAGTTATTAATATTGAAACCGAAGGGGTTATGGGGGATGAAATACCTTCATTTTGTAGCCTAATGAACAAAAAATAAAAGATCTTGGGCCAAATTTTGATAGTCTATTAACAATTTTTCAAGTTTCCTGGTGCAGCCCGGCTCACATTTGTCTTAACTTGGGATAGGGACAAGATTGTGTGTGTTAATGGACTCTAAAAGTTTGACACCCGATTTGACTCCAAATCCAAATATCCTAGATTTGGATGTTGGAGTTTGCATCCGATTAATAATTGGATCATATGTGGATTTAACTCCATCTAGTCTGACTAAAATCTGAGTCCAATAAAAAAATATTATTTTATGTATATATGTAGTATAATTATGCATACATATAGATACTATTTATAATTATATAAATTTTATATTTTATATTTATATATATTTATTATACATATATGCTTTAAAAATAGTTAGTTTTTTAAACATAATAATTGGATGTGGATATGGATCTAGAGATTTCATAGTTGAATGTAGATGTGGATGTAGCTGGAT